TCTTTCTTTTTAATGAAAATGTGAAAAAATGGATCAGACCCAAATACACTGTTCATTTTTTCGTTAATAGTGGGACAATGGATTAGATCCAAATACATTGATTACCTTGTGGTGAGAGTGTAAAAGTGGATCAGATCCCAATATATCTTTCATATTAAAGTACATAACTTTTAATTCTTGTTGTTAATATATACATTGTATTACAACATTAAGTTACATCATATCAATATATTTAAAATTACCCTTAAATATATTTTAAAAACCTACAATCATGCACATATTTTTATTTTAGTCATATTACAGTCTCTGATGTAAATCTAAAGATCTATTGTACTTAATTGCTGGATAAAATACAGTACAGCAATGTATTTTAAAACAAGAGGCCCAAGAGGGCCTGTATCGCTCACCTGAATATTTAAGCAGTCATAGCAAAATATTCTCATTAAATATTATATTGCACTAAAAATATTTCCCTCGCAAACTTTGTCGGCTCCATCTGTTGAAACTACCAGCAAAATATTATTGTAAGATTCTATGCTTTTTGATTCTTCTTCAGAAGTTGCTTGACATATTTTCCCCTGTGACCTTGTAAGTAGGTTAATGTCATTTTCCTTCTCAAATTGGTTAGCTCTATTCCAAAATGCTACCAGCCAAATCTTATGAATCCATTCCTTTAAGTTCTTTAGAACAAATCCTTTAAAATGTTGTTGACCTCTGTGACCTCTAAAGTAAGTTGAGGTCATTTTCATTTGCAAACTTTGGTGAGCTCTATCCCAGGAAGTCACCAGCCAAATATTAAAATTTTATGAATTTTAATTCTTCAGAAGTAGTTTGAACCGTTTGACATATGTTAACGCTGTGACCTTGAAAGTAAATCAAGGTCATTTGGATTCGCAAACTTTGTTTGGCTCTTTCCCAGGAAATTACCAGCCAAATATTAAGGTTCTATACCTTCCAGTTCTTCAGAAGAAGTTGTTCTAAGGGTAAGACATATCTGACTCCTGTGACCTTGACAGTAGGTCAAGGTCATTATCATTCGCAAACTTTGTTGGGCTCCTTCCCAGGAAATAACCAGCCAAATATTAAGGTTCTATACCTTCCAGTTCTTCAGAAGAAGTTGTTTTAAGTGTTTGACATATCTGCCTCATATGACCTTGAAAGTAGGTCAAGGTCATTATCATTCGCAAACTTTGTTGGGCTCCTTCCCAGGAAATAACCATCCAAATATTTAGGTTCTATAACTTTCAGTTCTTCAGAAGAAGTCGTTTTAAGCATTAGACATATCTGACTCCTGTGACCTTGAAAGTAGGTCAAGGTAATTTTCGTTTTCAAACTTTGTCAGGCTCTATCCTAGGAAGACACCAGTCAAATATAAAGATTCTATACCTTTCAGTTCTTCAGAAGAAGTCGTTTGAAGTGTTTGACACATTTGACCCCTGTGACCTTGAAAGAAGGTCAAGGTCATTTTCATTCTCAAACTTTGTTGAGCTCCATCCCAGGAATCGATCAGCAAAATATGAAGATTCTATACCTTATAGTTCTTCATGAGAAGTCGTTTGAAGTTTTTGACATATTTGACTGCTGTGACCTTGAAAGTAGGTTAAGGTCATTTTCGTTGTAAAAGTTTGTCGTGCTCCTACCAATAAAGCTTTCAGTCAAATATCATGACTCTAGGCCTGTCCGTTCTTCAGAAGAAGTTGTTAAAAGGAAAAGTCGAAGGACGTTGCACCATGACATAAGCTGACATTTTGCAAAATCAGAATAACTGTTCAACACATGCTGCATGGCCATATGGAGTTATAGAAAAGTAGTAGCGTAATATTGAACACCCCCCAGTGATTGATTTAGAGAGCAAGGTTCCCTCTTTATGGATCAAATTGTCTGCTTTCGTCAGGAAAATTAGACCTTTCACTGAAATTGGCAAGGATCCCTTGCTTTAAAAAATAATTAACCCTCTGTCCCCCTTATGGCCATGTATTTACTTGCATTATTTACAATGTATTTATGTATGCTGAAATGTATAATACATTTATAGACAATGATACATTTATTTACAAAACATCCATAAACAATAATCGTTACGATGATTAGAGGAGTAATACAGGCACGGGGACAGCATTCATTTAATAAAACAACCCGATAAAAGTAAAAAAAGGAAGGAGAGCGTAAATTGGAAATTCTTCAATCAATCTGGCTTGCGGTGATATACATTTTTACGGGTTTTGTGTAGGGCTGATATATTGCATCCATTATAGTTTACGATTGAAAAACAAACAGGGGAACATATGAAGCAGAAAATGTTTTTATCAGCCCTTTCCAAGAATTATCACCAAACTCTCATCTTTACTTGACAAAATGCTGTCAGTACGTCAGCACTTTATAAAGGCACTATCTCCAATCTGAACACAATTCTGATATTCTATCATTGAATAAACTCCAAGCACAACTTCTCAACGATCATATAGAGGATGGACCAACATAATTACAGCCAATGGATTCCAAGAAATTGCTGAATTATGGTAACCCTTTCACCACTGTAGACCATAATGGACTCATCCATATCAATGCATGGCAGAGTCTACTAAAGTTACATAGGGGTGAACGGGTTTAGCACAGTCTCTATCTATGACCAAGATGGACATTAAAATTAAACACCAATGTACAAATGTATATGTACCACAACATGCTGTAGTTATAGATTTGCATCAAAGTACTTTGTATATACAGGACGAATACAACTGAAAATTGCCAAACAAAAACAATTTTCATACAGACATCCCTAGTTTAAATTATATCCCAGTAATGAAACTAATTTGTAGCATGGCCTAATTCTCATGAGACAATCTTTAATGCTTTGTAAGAAACAAAATATTTGTTAATTGGGAAAATGATGTCCCACAATGTTCTCAAACTTCGAACTACATCATGCTATGAAAAGTACCGGTATATAATGCTTGATAAACGGTACCAAGGAACTGACTTGGGAACGAGAGCAAGCAATGAGATAAATAGATGTTCAGCAAAACACTCCTTACAAATAAACAGGTATTACAGGTCTTCAATGAACATTCATTTCATATGAGATTCATATATCGTTTACAAACCTTTCAAACTAGCTATCTTTAGCTGAACTACAAGGGAACATTGATGCTGAGTATCCATCTCGTATGAATAAAAAAAATAAAAATAAAAAAAAAAAACCTTCAAAAGTACTGATTAGACTGCAGGGGTGGGTATATATGAAATATATTTCAAGCTTTTTAAATTTGTGGTCATAAAACTATTAGACTGATTTTCTCTATCGATACCATAAAGGAGCGTAGATGCTGACATCACAAAACATAGACAATGCAATCTGTATGACTGAAGTCACTCACAAGAAAAACATGCTCATATATATAATTAACCTATTCTTAGCTAACAAAACAAGATTTTGATTGTTTTTTTAATTTTCAATGGATTTCTGAAATGGAAAGGGAGGGGTGTCGGCAGCATGCATTTGTATTGCAGGGAACAAGTACTAATGTACTTATTAATGAGAAATTAAAGTTGCGCATTGCGTTTACAACACCATTTCCTATCTTTAATATCAAGATCATTAAGCACCAAAGAATATTAAACTTTTAATGTCTTTTTTTTTTAAGACAAAGTTGCAAGTATGGCAAGCACTTACAAATTCTGACCATTAACTAACACTTTTGCTTTTAAAAAACAGATATGGTCAAATAAAATTTTAAAAGATCATAGCATAACTAGCTAAGTGAAATTAACGTTTTACGTTAAGAAAATACCACAAAGGTAAACAATGAGAAAACACAATAACGCTTAAAATACAAACCGGTTTCAAACAAACAGTTAACAATAAACATTTCATGTGGGGAACTTGGAGGGAAACACAGTAAATGAGAATAATAGCATCTCTTAACAAAGGAATTTACTCATCCATGGACATCAGGATGGCTAGGTTTGTCCTGAAAAAACAAAAACATCAGAGCTAAGTATCTCATTTTTCTTCTGAAACATCTTTTTTCACGAAGGACACATCACAGACTGAACACCAATCTACAATACATTTCATGCATTTAAGTCTACAAAGATGTTTGGTGAAGGCAGGCTTTCTCAGAATTGTGATAAATTCAAGGTGTCTATACAAAATGTATTTCACATGCAAAGAACCAGAACGTCTTCCATAACACAGACAACAATAACTAAAAACATCTAGTCCCAGTGACCAGATAAATAAAAGGCAAGCTAGTGGACATCAGCATTGATTAAGGCTAATATCTAGAAAGAACAAGAAACAGCCACATAGACCTCAGGCCAACAACAAGCAGCAGTGTCTGTCAAGTGAAAATGTCCAGTTTAAACTTTCTCCATATCATCCTCATGTCTATAATATAATCTGGACTAATACATCACATCTATATATCATAAAGGTCCTCCATAAAATATTTTAATACCATGAAACTGAGAATCAACTCATTGACTCATATTGTTCCTCCGAACACAATATCAAAAATCTTAATCATCATGAAAACGTAACATGCTAAGCATTCAGGTATGATAATGATAACTCAATGTGCCAAACTTGAAAGCAAAGCTTGCGATTTCTCAAAGCGGAGAAGACATCGACCAGTACAATAAACAATGGCAATGACAATGAATTTAATGTTGATGAAGAGGTACATAACTTTTGTGAGCGACATGAATGATTTTACTTCAAGCTTTTTGATATATTTACATGCGATACAGCTATAACTTGGTTATATGTATATATCTTATCACATCACAGTGAAGATAGATGTTTTGAAAATTGCAATGGCAATTCTGATAGGTTAATTAACTCAAGCAATATATAAACAAGCAAGAAAAACATCCACAAACCTTCGCTCAATGCTGAAGTTCAGACTGTCATTAAGGTTCAATTTTGCTATTTTTTTTACATGGAGTGGATATGGAATATTGTACATGTATACAATGAATTCAACCCTTTCAACACTATAGACCATAATGAACTCATCCAGATCATTTTTCAGTAGAGTTTATTAAAGTAACATAGGGGTGAAAGGGTTAACCTCATATTCATGACTTCAGACACATTTGATTTCCAATGAATTGATGGTTAATTGTTTTGCTAATATCCGAAACAAACAATTAAGAAAATTTAAAATATCTGAAATATCATCTTACCCTGAACTGTCAATGTCGGGCTATGTAGCAATAGATTGATTTGTCACTTTTAGTCATTGTATACAGCCAAAACCTACCACAAGATCATGTTTAATTACACCAAAATGTTATTGGCTCTTAATTTCCAATTTTTTGGGAAACAGTCACGTGCCGGCAATTAAAATCATGTCTACTTTTTAATGAATGTTTCTTGATGTTGAAATTAGTCTTGAAGTATCTTGTACCAATGGCAGATTTGTTTGAACACTGAACAGTCGTTGGATTTATTTTGAGTTGATATTAAACAGAATAAGTATGGAGTGCTATATACAATACAATAGTACATAATACCTCCCTTCACCACTGCGATGGCATCTAGTTAGTCAATAGTGCCTGTTACGTCAACTTTACTCCTTATGCTGGATTAGAAGAATTCGGATGACTGTAGAATAGTTTATCATGAAGGAAAACCTATTCTTCACACAATTAACTAACTCACCCCTGAAGACATATTTGAACTTCCAATTCAAAGGTTGGAATAGTCCATTATGAAATTTCAGGGGTGAATGAGTGAATACCTCATATTGTTTCAAAAATAGAAAAGACTGGTATTTCAGTTTACTCTGTAAAAGTCTTTAACATTTTCGTAAAAGATAATTGATCTGATCCTTTTTGAGCTGTCGATCCGTGTCGTGTCCTTATTTGACTAACATGGACAAAATCTAAACATCGTCTACTTTGTCATTTTTGTCAATGCCTTTCATCTCCAATGCAGTTGCCTTTATAACATTAGTTTTCTCCCCTTTCTTGTCTACTTTGTCATTTTTGTCACTGCCTTTTGTTTCCACCTCAGTTTCCTTTACAACATCAGTTGTCTCCCCTTTCTTCACACCTTTTTCATCACCAGTGACATTTGTAATGTTGGGATTAACCAGGTTAGTCTCTGTGTGTTCTGCGTTACCTAGCAATAGAAACCAGATGCACCTCGCATAAATTATTATGATATTTATTTTCATATGCACATATTTTAAGTGCTTTATTTGAAAAAAAAAACCACTTCTTAAAAATATAAAATCAAACAAAAGTAAAATATAAATCAATCCTAAAAGTTATTTCATCCCATAATAGCATTCGATAATAACACACAATTAGTTAAAATGGATGATATAGCTTAATAAAAAAGTAAGGCAACCTAATATTTAAACTTGACCTTAAAACTGGGTGATTAGGAACCTTAATTGTCTGAAATTCCTTCTTACCAGTTTGACGATTAAAGCTCATTTGAACAAATAATAGAACATTTTTTTAGCTTTGACTTGTTTCTATGTATATCAATAGTGACCTTGGCCTTGACTTTTGAACCCTGAAACACAAAGATGTCTGAGGTATTATCGTACCTGGCCTTTGTGTAAATTTTGACCAAAATCCATCAAGAAATAAAGTTGGTAGACTGATGACACTGAATTGCTTGATGATTTTCTATAAATAGCAATGGTGAGTGACCTTGGCCTTGTCATTGTAATCCTGAAACATTAATCCATATGAGATATTCTCATTCTTGAAATCTGTAAAAAGTTTGATGAAAATTTCTTAAAAATAGAAGTAGCCAGAGTGAGGAAAATGAATATTTCCATATACAGCAACAGTGGCCTTGGCCTTGACCTTGGCACCCTAAAATACTTGACCTTTGTATAAAAATTGTTCAAAATCCATAAGGAAATTAAGCTGGTTAACTTATGACACTGAATTGGTTGATGATATTCTATAAATAGCAATGGTGACCTTGGCCTTGCCATTTGACCTAATAAATGAATTGTCTGATGTATTTGAATACTTTTGACAATTGCGTGAGTGTTTACATTGAATTGCGATGGGGCATGATGGGAAGGACATGGGTATAGAGACATAAGCCATTATTATTTCAGGAAACAGAATTTGTACTTGTCCATTCAGTGTTGACTCCAGGATGAAATAGTTGTTTGTACAATCAGTGTGAAAACTAAATATGCATGTGTGTACAAGGGATAGTATGATCAGTTTCATTGCAGCAGTTTTGAAAACTCATCCAGCTGGTTATACAAACAAACAGCTTTACAGAGCAGTAGTGTTAGGACACTTAGGTCAGACAGACATCACAGATACAATATAAGGGAAACTGACAAAGAGTTACTTTTTGCACTTATGTTTCCACCTTTTTCATCTCTTCAGGTGACAAAGAAAATGTAACTCCTTGTCAATTTGCCCGTATTTTATGACAGAATGGTATTTCGCCATGTAAGTATTCTATGCTTGGCAGATACATTATGAATGCAGAACCTTCAACAAGCCCCAGGAAATTTGAAAAAGCAAGCCCTCATAACCTTAAAGCCAAGCTCAGAGAGGATGATGGTACAGGATGCCTCAGTATCAAAGCATTGTTAAGTCATTGTTAAAAATTGTTAACAACTGTCATAAGTTTGTGAATATCTACGAATTCCATTGCAATTTTTAGCCACCTGACTGGATAGCAATTACACCTCTTGACCCTCAGCCTTGACAACCTTCACACCTCTTGACTCTCAGCCTTGACAATCATCACACCTCTTGACCCCCAGCCTTGACAACCATACAAATCTTGACCCTCAGCCTTGGCAACCATCACACCTCTTGACCCTCAGCCTTTACAAGCATCACACCTCTTGACCCCCAGCCTTGACAACCATACAAATATTGACCCTCAGTCTCGACAACCATCACACCTATTGCCCCTCAGCATTGACAACCATCACACATATTGACCACCAGCCTTGAAAGCCATACAAATCTTGACCCTCAGCCTTGACAACCATCACACCTCTTGACCCTCAGCCTTGACAACCATCATATATATTGACCCCCAGCCTTGACAACCATACAAATCTTGACCCTCAGCCTTCACAACCATCACACATAATGACCCTCAGTCTTGACAACCATCACACCTCTTGACCCTTAGCCTTGACAACCATCACACCTCCTGAACTTCAGCCTTGAAAATCATCACACCTTTTAACCGTCAGCCTTGATAACCATACAAATCTTGACCCTCAGCCTTGACAACCACCCAATTATTGACCCTCAGTGAACAACTGTATTTGTATACCATCATATATGATCTGTTGGTGCCTGCAGATACATTTTTTTCAACTTGTGCTGACCAACCAAGGAGAATTCTTGCACTCTTTGCAATATTACACAAAAAGATACAAAACGCCAAAGATTCACCAAGATAGCCATTCAGGTATTACACACACAGAATCTACAACGCCATGATCAACATTGACACCAGGTTTACAATTCAACTGTAACATACACCAACTCTACAACAACGCCATGATCAACACTGACACCAGGATTACAATTCTACTGTGACATACACCAACTCTACAACACCATGATCGAAATTGGCACCAGGATTTCAATTCCACTGTAACGTACACCAACTCTACAACAACGCCATGATCAACATTGACACCAGGATTACAATTCCACTGTAACATACACCAACTCTACAACAACACCATGATCAACATTGACACCAGGATTACAATTCCACGGTGACATACACAGAATCTTCAACAACGCCATGATCAACATTGACACCAGGATTACAATTCTACTGTGACATACACCAACTCTACAACAACGCCATGATCAACATTGACACCAGGATTACAATTCCACTGTAACGTACACCAACTCTACAACAACGCCATGACCAACATTGACCCCATGTTGAAATCCTTTTATTGAACAAATTCTTTAGCGAATTAACTTTTTATTTTATATATTTTTTTATATAACTCTTTGTTAAACCAAATGGTGATATTAGTCAAAGTCAGAAAAATGCTGACAAATCTAAACTCTTCTTCATTTGAGATTAAACAAAAAGAGCTTGGACACTCCACCTGAATAAAATAAAATTCTTTTGACAATATTCATTCCTGTGTTTTCTGTGATATCCTCAATTTGTTTAGAATTATTGCAATTCATTGCATGCAGAGGCAGTGGAGTATAGCATATTGAATCCCAGACAATGAAGAATACATCCTTACCAAAACTGGACACCTATTTATTACAATCCTGAAACATAACAATATAACATACTTTGTGAATATGTAGGAATGTCCAAATTGCTGTGTCAGTCTGATAACATATTCTCCCACCTCAGACGGGGATATCCCACGTCATACCAATTTGCTAGATTTCCTATCTTGTCTGTTCCTTCTGGCACCTTTATGTGACATTTCACAGAATTTTTGCGCAGCACGAATTCATCCCTGCATAAAAGGCTCGAAACAAACTACCAGCTATGTGCTTTATACATGTTCTTTTTGTCGTTATATATATATTGTTATGATGTACATTATGTACTAAGATATCGATGTTGTAGATAAAACATAATGTACACTATAAAATACGTTGTCTTCTTTAAAATTTGTGAAGATGGACTACCTTTTAACGCGGCAGCATTCAAATATAGCTTTAATAGTGTAGAGGCCATATTTAGTTGAGGTCCCAGGCGAGATTCTTGTAGTATTTAGCAAAATTGGATATTTTTTTTTAAACTAAAAGGTGCAAGAAAAAATAATCTATAACCTATAACTGAGCGAGAATGGTTTATCTCAGTCTTGGGCCAAGATTCTTTAACACCCCAGCCTCAGCTTACATCTCGGTTGGGACTATATGTTGCAGAATCTTAGCCCTCGACTGAGATAATCCGATCTTGCTCAGATACAGGTAATAGATTTTATTATTCCTGACCATGGTTTACAAAGGTAGCATTGATGGAAGTCTGTGAGGTGACTTAACTGTCTTCTTACACAGAAGAGCTCTACACCCACAGGTATTGAAGTCTGTAATTGGGTTATCTGACTATCCAGACACCACTAATCTGTTTGTACCGGGTACTACATGACAAATTGACACTTATCAAGGTATTATGCCCCCTGTAATTGGGTTATCTCATGACTATCCAGACACCACTAATCTGTTTGTACCAGGTACTACTTGACAAATTGACACTTATCAAGGTATCCGGCCCCCTGTAATTGGGTTATCTGACTATCCAGACACCACTAATCTGTTTGTATCAGGTACTACATGACAAATTGACACTTATCAAGGTATCCTGCCCCCTGTAATTGGGTTATCTGACTATCCAGACACCACTAATCTGTTTGTACCAGTTACTACATGACACATTGACACATATCAAAGTATCGATCATGCCCCCTGTAATTGGGTTATCTGACTATCCAGACACCACCAATCTGGTTATCCCTACCATCAAGACACATACAGCTTACTTGGTCACCCCTCCATCCAGTCATCACAAATTCAGTCATCCAACCATCAAACAAAAAGTAATATGGTTATCCAGCTATGCAGCTACTACTTTTGAATCTGGGTTTTCTGACCACATTGTTAGCCAAAGGAAACATAGCTTTTAACATTTCTACCTTAATCGACAGTTTACTTCCTTTACCCTCAATGTAATATCTCTGTGTTCTCACAGACTTCCAGCCAATCAGAGACAGGCTATTGACCGGCGAGATACAGAGAAATACAAGAGGCCCATAGGGCCTGTATCGCTCACCTTGATATCTAAGCAATCATGGCAGAATATTCTCAAAATGAGATCCAAGGGAATATGCCAGACCCCAAGGCCAATCCTTGTAGCATATATATCTGTATTCAATTTTTCATGCCCAGCAATTTTATGTATGGTTATGGTGTTGGGATCTCAACTGTTTCCAAGCTGTGACTAAGAAACTCGGTCCCTAGGGGTTCGGTCAGACCCCAGGGTATATTCTAATATTGTGACTGCATTCGTCTCCTATGCACAGCATTTGTATATATAGTTTTTGAGTGGGATCTCAGCCGTTTTAAAGCTATGGCCCAAGGACTGTGTTTCCAAGGGTGGGGCCAGACCCTGGGGCCATCCTGGAAGCATATGTGCCTTCATCTGTTTGTAATCGGCAATTGTCTATATGGTTATAGGGTTGGGATCTCAACTGTTTCCAAGCTGTGACTGAGAAACTAGGTCCCTAGGGGTTCGGTCAGACCCCAGGGTCTATTCTAATATTGTGACTGCATTCGTCTCCTATGCCCAGCATTTGTATATATAGTTTTTGAGTGGGATCTCAGCCGTTTTAAAGTTATGGCCCAAGGACTATGTTTCCAAGGGGGGGGCCAGACCCTAGGGCCATCCTGGAAGCAAATGTGCATTTTTCTCTTTATACTCAGCAATTGTATAAGTGGTTATATGGTGGGGATCTCAACCATTTCCGGGCAATAAACTTTTTTTGGTCCCACCCCTTAGCCCGGGGGGTCAGCCACACCATTTGTACAATTTTGAATCCCTGCATCCCATGAATGCTTTTGATTAAATATGATTGATATCCAGTGCATAGTTCTACAGAAGAAGTCGTTTATAGCAATCTAGCCAAATTGCCCCCTTTTTGGCCCCGCCCCTCAGCCCCCTGGGGGGTCAGCCCAACCATTTGTACAATTTTGAATCTCCACCACCTAGGGATGCTTCCAGGCAAATATGGTTGATGTCCATCTCTTAATTCCAGAGTAGAAGTCGCTTAAAGCAATATAGCCAAATTGCCCCCTTTTTGCCCCTCCCCTCAGCCCCTTGGGGGGGCAGCCCCACCATTTGTACAATTTTGATTCCCCACCACCTAAGGATGCTTCCAGTCAAATTAAGTAAAATTCCAATCAGTGGTTAGGAAGAAGAAGTCGTTTAAAGAAATTGTTGATGGACGGACGACGGACGGACGGACGACGGACGCCACGGTATGGCATAAGCTCACCTTGGTCCTTTGGACCAGGTGAGCTAATAATGATAAAAGCTGTAGCTTTTACATACTGACTTTAGCAACAGTATTCAACTGAAGTAATTTGACGTGGAACAGTAGGTCAAATACAAAGTCACAACTCCGATATCACATACAAAGCCATGCAAGTACATACCGTATACTGGGAAATGATTGCCCTTTGACAGTAAAATTCATTTTTGCCAAAATTAAATTTGTCCTTCACATTTAATTACAATCTATATTATGTTTTTACATGTGCTCTCTTTAATGATCTATTTGCCCTAACTACAGAGGGCGAAAAAGGCTAACATCTAGTTGCAGCGAAAAATTCCCCTTATACAGTACTAAGTGGCTCATTCCAAATTTACATTTGACAGCAGAAACCTTTAATGAAGTCAACTTCAAATAAAGAAAACAACTAGAAAATGTATTTATCATATGACTACTGTGTTATGCAGCGTCATAAAGCCATCCCATAAATTATGTTTATGAACAATATTATTATTGTTTGTCTTTAAAGTTTTACAGTAACAGAGCTAAACAACACAATGTTTAACCAAGATGTAGTAAAGATAGTCAAAAACTCATTCACCCCTGAAGACACATTTGAACTCTTCCAATTCAAAGGTTGGACTAGTTTATTATGAAACTTCAGGGGTGAGTGAGTTGATAATCAATCCAGTTCATAGAAAGGGCATAAAAATGAAAAGGGGCTATAACTCTGTATACAGCGAGGTATTTGAGACTAAATTTCAGTATGAAACACACCACCTTCCCAATGTACACAATTTAGGTGAAATAGCTATGACATTATGCTTGGGACAAAGTTGATGGCAAATTTAACCAATCAGGCTTTTCCTTATCATATAATGTCCTGTCATAGACTAGTATTGTTTCCGAGACATATGATATGAAACATTTGGAGTGTCTGTTGTACATTCTTTTAACAGCTATGGCAGGAGTTCCTGTAGAAAAAAACCACCGACCTACAGCCAGTACCTGGTGACTGCTCCACGCAGGACTCAAACCTGCGATGCCTAAACCACTTTGCAACTGCAGCCCCTGATAATTGCAACAATGATTTCCCCAACAAAATTACGATATGATGACGATACTGGCAATCCTAGTAAAGGTCAATATTCTGATTCATCATTGGCTTATTGGAGAACAACGTTGTATGGAAAATGAATCTCATGCCTCTGAATCTACTTTCATCTTTACATGAGAAATTCTGACAAAATAAATTTCAACCACAACTTGCGTCAGGTTATCTTTTCCATTTACAGGAATCTCAAATGTAACAAATATACATTGCAAAACTCGGCCTTAATTTTATTATGAGCCCTTGTTCTACATCAAACTATATCTTACAAGAATACAATAATATATATATTATATACAATAATACCATATTATATATATGAAATACAATAATACCATATTATATACAATAATACCATATTATATATTATATTATATACAATAATACCATATTATATATATAATATACAATAATACAATGCACTTATTTTTGCTGCATTGTTTAATTCACGGTTGAATTCTTCTGCAAAAATCACGAAACAAAATTTACTCGAGTTACAGTATTTTGAATCACATGTTTCATTTCGAAACTTGAAATTCATAACCAAACCTACACTTAATCTCCTCACCATAAAATAATAATGAGGACTTATCAAACATTCTGAAAGAAAAACATTAGACAAGGGAATTCAAAGAGATCACATAATATTTTAGATGTAAACTGTGTGTTTTGTTCTGGGCAAGCTGGCAGGCATCATTAGCTAATATATGTGTACATTAATGTCTATGAAATGTGACTGTGTTTGTAAGTTGCCAGCTGACACTATTACACACTAAAGTACTACCAGCCGAGATCAGGGCCATCCTAGTGGCCAGATGACACTATTACACACGAAATTAGGACCAGCGGAGATCGGTGACATCCTAGTGGACAGCTGACACTATTACACACTAAAGTACTACCAGCCGAGATCAGTGACATCCAAGCGACGGTATCAACAGTACTACATTTTGTGTAACTACCTACGTATGCTGTTAGTATACAGTAAAACAGGTTTACAATCAACATGCTTAAAATCTTGCTTGCAAGCTGAGGGAATAAAGAGCAGTACTTTCAAGGTATTGCAACAAAAATATTTTTTCTGTTTTCATTTTCAAATCAGTCTGCAGATTCAAAGAGAAGAAAGCCCCATGAATGGGGTGCTAGGAAAGTCAGTTTCAAAAAAAAAGTATGGAAAAATGTAAAAGATCCCCGAGAGACCTTGATGCCTACCGTTGTAAGATCTTCGTTAGTTCTACGTAAATTTGATCTTTTTTCTTCTTTTATCTTCTTTTCTCTTATCTGTTGGATTGATAGTCTTGTCAATAGTAAATACACCTTGTGGTGATATTTTTGTTTAAAACTTCCTCTAACGGTGTCTTTTTAATGGTAGCTGGGTCATCATTTGACCTATACTAAAATATTTGTGTGAACACCAGAACAAGACAATGACTTTTCTTGCAGTTATATTTTTCTTCTGATAAAGCAATTTGAACTCAAATCAAAATATGCAAAACAAGTGAAACAGAAGAAACTTATTTAAACAAAGTGAACCTACATATGGAATATTAAAAAGATCGGTCAAGTACCATCAAGGAAATAGTGATAACAAACATTATCTGTCAAATCCAAGATGGCTGCCAGGTGGCCATCTTATTTTTCTGATCAGTCTCAAAATAAAACATGCATAGCTATATGGACCAAGTTGAACATATGTAATTTGAAAAAGATCTGTTGGGTACTTGTTAATAAATAATGGTAACAAACTTGAATTGTCAAAATCAAAGATGGCTGCCTGGTTGTGACTATAGCAATCTAATTAAAATTATATCTTTACAACGCTCCCGTTTACTGATATGTCGCGTTGAAGATCTAACAACATCCCTTAGAAGGCCATGTTCAGGCGACCTTTGCATTAACCAATCAGATGAGAGCTTACGCATTTCTGTAAGTGATGATGTAATGATTTCGGAACACACTTGCTATGTTAAAAGACCGAGAGGTGTCAAATGAGCATTGAAAATGGCGGCGCCCATGACACCACGCCGTGTCTATCTACAAGACAACGTTTGTACAATTTGTGGATTTTGCTTTGAAATAAGAGAGACTAGGACTTCTGGTGATGTTGTCGTTAAAAAGTTTAACAACCTGAAACTAAAATTAACCAATGACAGGCTTCGCAATATTCAAACTATCACTGGACCAGACGAAAAAGTGGATTTTGGGCTACGAGGTGTCTGCATTAAATGCTACAGGTCCTGCTTTCTGATTGGTTGAAAGAAAGAGTTATGTTGCCTTTTGATTGGCTTGTTATAAATACAATAATGCATTCATGTTGACCTCTGACGTGACCCTCTATGGGATGTTGATAGATCTTCAACACGACATATCAGTAAACGGGAGCGATGTGAAGATATAATTTTAATTAGATTGTGACTATAGACCCAAAGAAACTGACATATTAACTCATTCACCCCTGAAATGTAATAATGAACTATTCCAACCTTTGAATTGGAAGAGTTTAAATGTGTCTTTAGGGGTGAATGAGTTAAATAAGAAAGATCTGTCTGGTACTGCTTATGAATAACTATCGCAATATTGAACTGTCAAGAATCAAGATGGCTGCCTCCTCTGTTTTTTATGTAACAATATCTTTTTATTGTTCATATCAACATCAATCTTTATTCTTTTCTTATAAAATCTGATTTCTGATATCCATGGGGTTTGTTTAAAACAGTTTAGTGATCAAAGAACAAAAACTAATTATAGCACTAATTTATCATGTCCCCTGGGTTCATTATAAACATGGTTTACTGATTATAGCACTAAGTGATCATGTCCCCTGGGTTCATTATAAACATGGTTTACTGATTATAGCACTAATTTATCATGTCCCCTGGGTTCATTATAAACATGATTTACTGATTATAGCACTAATTTATTATGTTCCCTGGGTTCATTATAAACATTGTTTACTGTCATTAACTGTGGTTAATATTTCAATGTATTAAATAATGCTTACGAAAGTTCTTTTTCGCATTTACTCGACAACAGACAAGGAGCAGCATGATGATCACCAGTGCAATGACAGCTAAGGCAAAACCAGCACCAGCATAGGCCAAGCCTTTAGTCACTGTAATGAAACAACGGATGATTAAAAAGAGAACTATGTACATTTACAAATCAATGTTTGTGAGGATATTGGCCTTCAGGTTAACTTATGTGTAATTACGTGAATTAAAATGCTTGATACTGAAAGAAGCATGACATTCTATTTTTAGTAAGTGACCTTGACTATGATCCTATCCATCAGAAACTATTAAGAATATGGCTGCTAGAATAATGCAAGGAGTGTGACAGTGAAGATCTATTTTAGTAACAGTGACCTTGACCTAATCAAAACAGTATTAGAAAGACAGACAGACAAATAGCCACTATCTCAAAAAGTAAACATGAATAGTCATTCATTGTCATTGATGGTGTCTGTAATTATTTGCCTACATTTTAATTTTACCCAGTTTAAAGGATGACGTGGTTTAGAGCTACTGATTGAAAGGCCTGCTAACACATCTATGATAACTTACCCAAACCAACGATGCAAAGTATGATTCCAATCACACAAAGTAATGTTACAATAACTGCTGCAATAAAGGTCTGCTTTACACTCAACTCTGAAATGAACACAAAAACCAATAAATTTGATGGAGAATCAATATAAAATAGGACAATGTAATACCTATAGTTTTATACTGAAAAACAAGTCTGAAAGGATGCATTCTAGTAAAAAAAACAAGAGGCCCAATGGGCCTGCATCGCTCACCTGGTATTAATATAACCTAATAAAAGTGGACTAAAATAAAGCTACAGGCAAAATATCAGTGTCTTGACTTAAGTCATTCAGAAGAACCTGTTAAACGATTTAAACACATTTGACCCCTATGACCTTGAAAGTCAAACACTGACATTAAATTTAACAAACTTTATAGCCTTCATCCCAGAATGCAACTTGTCAAATATCACAACCCTAATGGCCCTATACCTTTTGTTTACTGAGAAGATTACTTTTTAGATGGATGCACTGTGGACCAGATGTGACCTTGAAATTGTGCCAAGGTCATTCACATGAACAAGCAATCACCCTGGACGCTTTAGTTGTTCAGAAGAAGTCATTATTTTGGTGTTTTTAAGACAAATAACCCCATGTGACCTTGAATATGGGCGAAGGTCATTCATTTGAACAAAGGTTGTAGCCCTTCATTCCAGCATGCTACTGATCAAATATCATCACCCTGAACCTTTTGGTAATTCAGAAGAAGTTGTTTGAAAGTGTTTAAGACAATTTACTCATGTGACCTTAAAAATAGGGCAAAGGACGTTCATTTGAACAAACTTGGTAGCCCTTCATCACAGCATGTTACTGGCAAAATATGAACACCCTAGGCCTCTTGGTTATTTAGAAGTTGTATAAAAGTTCAAACATAGTTTACCCCCCTTGACCTTGAATATGGGTGAAGGTCATTCATTGATTCATTCAATTTGAAGCATACCAATAATCCAGAGTTGGTCATTTTCATTGAGCCTCAACATAGCATTAATCACAAATTAAAACGTTATAATGCTGTTTTTACTGTTCACTGGTCTCAACAGAGTGACTCGGCAGTTGAAAAATAACCTTTCATTGTCAAATTGGATGGCTGGACGAGAAAAACGTGCAAACTGGTCAACGCTTATTGAGAGCAAACTGCACGGGAAAAATTGTCAATGACACACGGATAGTGTGTATGTGTCATACTCGGTCATGTGTGTGAATTTTCATGTATATATGCCCGGCTGCCCTTTTGGGGTCTGATGTCATAGACCGGCCATACGACGTAATCCTACGTCGTCCTTGTAGGCATAACTCCAACAGCATTGCTGCCATTCCTTACATCTTTATTTCCATGTATAGCTTACTCAGGTTAATCCAGATGTTGATAATCTTTAACTCTCTCCTTTCTGACGCTCAAGGTTTCTCTCTCCTTTTTGACTCGCAAGGTCTCTCTCTACTCTCTCTGTCTCGTTCCTTATATACTTGCTACTTGTCCCTCACAGAAGACCTCCTGCTGAGGCTCCTTGCTGATCTCAGCCAGCAGGACATTTGGCCCATGCTGTGTTTCTTATTTTACTTTAACCTGATATTTTATCAAAACTATAAATGTTACAACTGATCTAAATACTTGTCCTGAAAGATGACATTCTCTGCTTTATACTGAAGTCTTGCACTTATAACACAAACATTGAACTTAAATGCATTATTGAATTATTTAGTATTTGAACACTTCAAATGACAGTAAAACATATACAGAATCAAAACTACTTGCTTGATTTGAATAATCAAAACAGTTCCATAAACTACACATAATGCTTAGTGTTATTATTTCTCTATTCTTGTATAAAAGAATGAAGCTACATAGAAATAGTATGTTGAATTTGTTAAACAATAACAAATCGAATCTACACTATATCGGCTGAGGTTCAGCTTATCATTTTAATGGTCCCAGTGGGGGTATCCCACTACTGACCATTTGCCCTTCAGCCAGAGGGAGCTGATCACACAGCATGACCCCCTATACAGCTCAGCTAGTACTGATTAGCCTACAGATGTGCAGCTAAAACTAATTATTACTTCTCAGATAAATTGAGATAATATGTCACACTATTTCTCTGTCTGTCATATATGCCCCTCTACCATTTAAATTTGTTCCACAAATTTGCATATGTTTATACAAGAGTTCCTATACCTATAAAACTAAATTATTTACAAAACATTGTAAGATATCAGTTACTCTATAACCTAGCTGATATTTGGTGAAGAAGAGAAGGAGAAGAAACCTTGTGGAAATCCCACTGATTCATTGATCAACTCTCTACACCCTTCTTTCCCACTCATCATTTCCTCTGGTTCTCACAATGTGACATATATACATTTCAAATAAACATACATGTATTTCATATTTCATTACAATAAAACAGCATAAAACATTCAATATTTCAAAATATTGTTGTCCTTTCAATTCAACTTTGTTTTGTTGACACTTATATGTTCATTGCCACACATGTACATCCCAAGAATGATGTTACATTGTCCATTTCCAGTCGCAAATATCTGTTTTACTGGCTCTGCTCCACGTCGCCAGTAACATTCAATTTGCGACAGTATCATCGCCGCAAATTTCAAAATACAGTAGGGTTATCCCCTCATTATGTGTTAACTTATTAAATCAGAACGGAATAAACAGCACAAGTTCTGAAACCTTCCTAAACCTTGATGATTGTTTTACTTCAGGTTTATTAACATGTATGATTCCTGTGGTCACTATAACTTACAATATCTGGCCACACAGAGTTTGTGCCAAATGCAGTAGAATATGGAACACGGAATATAAAATGAAACAAGAGGTCCATTGAACCTGTATCGCTCACCTGGTTTTATATATAAGTCATTACAACTGAATGCATTAGTACATCTTTATATGAAATTTCCTCAAAACCAGAAAAGATCTATGTTCTAACCCAACTGGGACCACAATATCTGACTTTCAACTAATCAGGGGCCGCCATTGAGTTGCAATGTTAACAGATTTTGAAATAAGTAATATGTCATATTACAGGGTGTAATTAGACAATACCTTAATTTTCATTCAACTATAAGCTTTTATAAACCTAGAAACCAATATTCAACACCATAGAATATGATAATCTAGCTGTACCATTTCTTAAGACTGAAGGGGTCAAATCAACCTCATTCAATTAAGAAATGTTTGTTCTTCCTCAATTATGTCTTTGACCAAATTTTGTACAATCCACTCACACAATTAGGGGTTATTAGCGTCTTAAAGCAGAATATTAGATAATTCCCTCTTTGGGGTCCCGCCTTCCTAACCCCAGGGGTCGTACCAGCTTCATTTATTTAGGAAATGATTGCTCTCCCCCATTGAAGTTTCAGAGCAAATTTGGTTAAAATAGTCTCTGGCGTTTAGGAGAAGATACGTTTTAAAGCAAATTTAGCTAAGTTCCCCTTCAGGGCCCTGCCCCCCGACCTCAGGAGTCGAACCAACCTCATTCAATTAAGAAATCATTGCCTGTCCCTACTGATGCTTCAGACTAAATTTGGTTAAAATCCTCTGTGGTGTTTAGGAGGAGATGCATTTTAAAGCCAATTTAGCTAAGTTCCCCTTCAGGGCCCCGCCCCCCTGGCCTCAGGGGTCGAACCAACCTCATTTATTTAGGAAATGATTGCCTTCCCCTACTGATGCTTCAGACTAAATTTGGTTAAAATCCTCTGTGGTGTTTAGGAGGAGATGCATTTTAAAGCAAATTTAGCTAAGTTCCCCTTCAGGGCCCCGTCCCCCTGACCTCAGGGGTCGAACAAACCTCATTTATTTAGGAAATGATTGCCCTCCCGTAGTGATGCTTCAGACTAAATTTGGTTGAAATCCTCTCTGGCGTTTAGGAGGAGATACGTTTTAAAGCAAATTTAGCTAAGTTCCCCTTCAGGGCCCTGCCCCCCTGGCCTCAGGGGTCGAACCAACCTCATTTATTTAAGAAATGATTGCCCTCCCCTACTGATGCTTCAGACTAAGTTTGCTTAAAATCCTCTGAGGTGTTTAGGAGGATATACTCTGGTTTTAAAGAAAAAGTTGACGATGGACGCTGGGCTACGGCATAGGCTCACTATGGTCCTTCTGACCAGGTGAGCTAATATTAACAACAGTGACAAGGAAATAACTCTTGTTGATGACGAATCAAACTGTGACCCGACAACAGTGCATTTTAGTCATCATCTGTGGTTGATGCAGATATACTGCAAGTTTTATCATGATATCTTTAACTTAGCACTTAGTTGACCTTATAATATTAGAGGAACTGCCTACTGTCATAAAAACAAAATATGAACAAGTTCTAATTATTATGGGGACCATTACAGAAGTCCTCAAAACTGACCCCATAGTCGCAAATGATGCATGAATAGAGTTTACAATGCCGGCATATACTTGCATACTAATTAAGTTTAAGCAAAATTAGACACAGAGAGGGACTGTTGGCATCACCTTGGCATACACCTTTCAATGTTTGAAACAACCAGACTTTCTTTTACCTTGACCTTGAGGTAAAGGCTACAGTGACCTTATGACACTGAATTGCACATCATCTGTAGGTGATGCAGTCATAATGCAATTTTCATCATGATATCTTTAACGGTTTAAAAGTTACGGCCTGGACAAGATCATATTAGAAAGCCAGAACCAGTACCGATACAATATGTCTTAATTCCTTCTTAAGATGGGGAGACATAATAATGATTACATCAACTATAGGCTCACAGTATTCATAGCCAATATGAATGCCATCTGAATGTGGTAGGGTTATATAGTGGCAATGCCATAGGATTGTTAATATAAAAGTAATGTTATATGTTTCTTGACCATGAACTCTGATTTTGGCAATTTCTTAAATTAAAAAAAAATAAGAATCAGAATGTAATTGGCAATACTTACTTGATTTGATGAACACGGGGCAAGGACCTGGTATTCTGCCTGAAATGAAAAGTATAATATATCATATAATTGGTATGAGGTGTCGCTGGGGTTTAATGCTTTCGTTCTCTCTGTACCGCTGGAATATGTCATAGCAAAATTAAAGGCTCAGTGTGCACCACCTTGTGGATGAGACAAGGAGACCAGTTTGATCCTTTCATGTACATGTACATTAAAAGAATCTGTTTGTCGTGTAACAGTAAAATTGACTGACTTTAAAGTTGAGTGTCGCTCCTCTGTAATCGTCAAAGGACCGGTATCAGCCTAGGTATCTACCTGACACCAATTAAATAGCTAACCATGTGCCTTCAATCTTGCTATGACATATTCCAGGGGTGTAGAGAGTAAAAGTGAGCGTAGCCCCTGGAGTATTGAGGATACTCATAAACATACCTGTAAACTTTTCTTGACTTATGGTCTGTTTTAGGTAGTAAACACCGTTCTGAGATAATGACAAGGCATACTTATCTAGTGTGTTGAAACACATTAACATATCAATACAAATATGTATTTCAGAAAAGGTTCACCTATATTTCATTCTTTGGGAGTAATCTTTAAATATCAACCCCCATTTCTCACACATGGTCCCTCCATCAGCCCCTAGGGGAGCCATCACGTTTTGAATTCCTTCGATCTATGAATACAGTAAAGTTGTTAAATCTTCACCTTGTACAATTATTCTTGTTAATTTGAAACGTGATAAATATGTTGTTCCATTATTGCAAAGTGCAGCTAGGTTAAATAAATAAATTTCAAACTGACAGCATACATTTTTTGGTATCTACATAGTGAAAAGAAGGTTCTTTTACTTCAAAAGCAGATGCTTATAAAAAATAAGTTTTCTTCCTGTCTTTTCCATGCAAGTGATTTTCAAATTCATTCAAGCAGAACTTGTACAAAAAAACTTGCAATGTTGATAAATGCTAACTAAACTCAAAATTACTTACCACTGCGTTGGAAAAACATTATCCAACAGAGAGCCACGCAAACCACAGCTACAACTAAGCCAATGACCGCCAAAACAACTGAATAGAAAAATATTAATAATCAACTTGGGGAAATACTTTTTATCAATAATCAATTGGGGTCAATACTTATCACTGTAATGGTATTCACACTGGGTCCAAGTTAAAGACATTTACAAACATGATGGCAAGCAAGCTTACCCTACAGGGCAAATATCTAATTAAAACTCATAGGTTTAATTTGTCGGAAGATTTCAAAGTTTTTACTTGTGTGGCCCAGTGTTATTTTCCTTGAAAGTGGGTCAAGGTCAATTATTTGATCAAAGTTTGTAGTCCTTCATTTCAGGATGTTACTGGCAAGATATTATCACCCTAGGCCTTACCGTTATTCAAAAGAAGTTGTTTGACAATTTTTTTTAATCATTTGACCCTATTGACTTTCAAAATGGTTGAAGGTCAATCATTTGAACAAAGTTTGTAGCCCTTCATCTCAGCATACAACTGGCTAAATATCATCATCCTGGGCGTTTTTGTTATTCAGAAGTAGTTTATAGGTTTTTTAAGACAATTGACGCCTGTGACCTTGAATATAGATGAAGGTCATTAATTTTAACAAACTTGGTAGCCCATCTTATCCCAGCTAAAGTGGACTAAAATACAGCTACAGGCAGAATATCAGTGTTTGATTCATAAGAACCTATTAAAAGATTTAAACATATGACGCCTGTGACCTTGAATGTCGAACAAAGACACAGAGCTTATAGCCTTTCAACCAAGCATGCTTTTGGCAAAATATCATTACCCAGCTGGACCTTTTGGTTATGCAGAAAAAGTCATTTAAAGATTTAAACATATAATGACCACTGTGACCTTGAATATGGGCGAAGATCATTCATTAAACAAACTTGGTAGCCCTTCATCCCAGCATGTTACAAGGGTTGAATTTGTGAATGCATAGACAGACATTGAGTATCAAATTATAGTTCCCAAAATTTGATTCCAATTATTTTGTTCAGAAACCCTAAACAAAAGAGTATAAGTCTACTTACTAGTAGCTGTGCTGCCTGCTGAAATGAAAATAAAAAGAGGTAAAAGAAACTTATGTATAAATTTATATTTATTTATCATTTGGTTGTACAAATTGAAATTGATGTCAAACATTGCCCTAAACGCCTGAAAAAGAATAAGATATGATGAGTATCATCTTTCAGTCAACTTCAAATTTTATATGTTGATTATTTAAAATTAAAACACCACCAAGCATTTTCCACAATGCTTCCGACCAACACAGCTATAAGGCATGAACTTTCACAAGTTTAAAGTTTCTCAGACGACAAAACAATATGTGTTTCACCTTTTATTCCAATGCGATCGTACATCCATTGTGACATTTCTGGACCAATTTGGACCATTGTCATTTGAGGGTTAAATGTGAAAATGTAACTAAAACTTTTAGATGACCTTGATCCTCTTTGATGGAATAGGAGCTAAACATGAAGTCTATAGCCTTGAAATTGAAACAAAATACAAAATCTAACCAAAATCAGTGAAGCGGATAATATAGGTCACAGTGACCTATATTTGATCATTAGTACATTAATCATCATGGTATATGTTGATAACTGTTGGGTTTCTAAAGTCAGTTTAATGGAGTTTACGCGAGTTATTAGCAAGATGTGGTATGGATGAACACTTTTTGAATATACTTGTCAAAGGATGAAGTTACCAAAAACATTGAACGTGTTTTTGGCTACGCAACAGCCCGATCACAGACGGTCATAACCAAAGTTGATCAATCCTAAACAAAACTTGATGAATGACGTCCAAAATGGCAGGTGATAAAGATTCCACAGTTCATCAATGTAACATGTGCAACAATACATTTTCTAATATCATCAAACACATCTACAGTACCAAGGACCTTGACCTTAAAAATATTCTCATAATGATCAGAAAAGATTTTTTAGGATCAGCACATTTGATAAAAATCTTTTCAAGTTTTCACCTACTGCACAAGGTATATATGAATTATTACCTTTAGTTATGTTTCAGAAAATCTTAAAGAGCAAGACATCAGTGTATATTTTACAAAGATAATATATACCGTAAAAACCCATGTAATTTGCGCACCTGTGTAATTTGCGCAGGTACTTTTTGAGGCTGAAAATCGGGAAAAAAGCTTCTACTCGAATATTTTGCGCACCCAAAAAATCTCGAAAAAAAACTATGTTCATGCTCCGAAAATCGATCTCTGAATATTTTTAAAAAAATATATTTCTATGATTTTATTTCATTGATGTAAAATGATATTTAAAACCAAGAAGAAACTACGTAAAATGTGTATTTTGTCGCTTGTTTTCTTTGAATTATCTGATCACACATGACACACACGTGTTCGCATATCGGCATACATCAATTCATTTTAGCAATATTTTACATGAAACATTTACTTGCTTACAAAAACATATCAATTAAGGAGGCTCCACCCTTTCGTAATTAGCCAGCAGAATTTAATGAAAGTTTCACATAATGGTTATGCCACTATGTAGAGATGATTTTATGAAAATCTAAGCATTCCGATAAACTGGGGATTTTTTTTTGTAAAAAATACCGAAATATTGAATTTTTGTCAAATTCAACACTTTTACAATTTTTGAGCGTGTGGCATTGTTCAAAACTATAACAACAATAAAATAATGAAAAGAAACATTGCTAATTAACCCTACAAATATCTTATTTATTATAAAATATCTACAACATGTTACAAAAAGTGTTTTTAATTGAAATTGTATGGATAACAGTTACTAAATACAAGCTAAAAGCAAACAGGACACATAGTTTCATACAAAAAGACTGAAACATTGAACCAAATGCACACAAAGTCTTTATAATTAATTTATTTTACATTTTACAATAATTTTGATCCTGATGAGAGTTGTCTACCTTGAAAAAAAACGGAACTTTTTGCAGAGGGATAGAATTTATACAATGACACTTATTTTCTTTACTATACCAAAAAACGACGGAAGTAATTTAAATTACTAGATTTAATTGTCAATTTACTGTTCTTTTATGGAACAAAATTACTCTCAATCATGTACACTTTGGACATCATTCCATAGCCTGCTTACGCATGGTATATTAACATGTCAGGTACATATGTAACCATAGGCTATCGCATGGTATNTTTGTGTGCTTCTCTCCGCACAACTGTGCGATTTGGTATCATATGTAGATCAAAATTACGGAATGACAAAAATACGGAAGGCTTGTATGCGATAATGTACACTGTGTATATATCTGTAATTTCTCATCACAATAATCAAGATTATACAATTTCACAATTTGTGTTACACACTGACCGTATTACAGCGACCGTTAGCTATATATAGGCTGTCAAGAATGGGTTTGGCTCCAAGGTAACAGAACAGGTAAATAATAATTTTATGAGTGTCTGGAGTTTTACCTGACCCCCGGCCTTACCCGACGAGTTAAGTAAGTGCCCCAGGCGGGGAGAAAACTACGGTCCAGGTACATGTACAAAGTGGTTATGTTTACCTGTAAACGGGATTGTGTTGTAATTTTACATGTGTCGATTAAGTTTGTTTAAAAACACAGAAAACACAATTTCTAAATATAAGAGTGTATAGACAGAAAGATACATTTTAGATGTTGCTAGAATATAGAAACATACGTAAACATCAAGTTTATATGTTTAAACGCGAAACCGTATAAATTGTTAAGGCATTCCTCAATTTACACCAACCACAATTGTTATCGCACAACGTCCGTCCATCGTGCGCACAGATGTGTGCAAGCACTGATCGTCCAGCTTTTTATCGTTCCCCCATCGTGCACACACCGTTCACACACCGTGCACCCGTCGTGCGCACACCGCACATCGTGTAACGTTGTGCGATACCACAACTGTAACATGTCAGGTACATATGTAACCATAGGCTATCGCATGGTATGCCGTTATTACGTGCACGCACATGCACTTGCATTTTATAGGGATCTTGATATTTTACAAACCACTTTTTAACAGAGTTATTGTAATTGCATTTGTGAACCGATTTATCTGATGGAGCGTAACTCGCTCGACAACAAAAGTCGTAGCGACCAAGAGCTTGTGAACTACTGTTAGCACGTGATACGTACAG